TTCTCTTAATGGGTCAATTGTATAGCTGATGGTCCTTAATGGGCCATCAAGCAGGCTAGGCAGAGCTAACACCAACTTGTCTGGGATGTTTCCCAGAAGCATAGCATAAGTTTGAAATACAGACAGTATAGAGCCAACATTCATAACTTCAACTACAACATTGATACACACATACAGACAGCATAATTATAACCAGCAAACCATAACCTTGTCTTAGACACCTCATTTGATCCCCTTTATACAAGATTTGGTGCCACTACAGGACTTTGGTTGCAACCATGTTCTATATGGTCCCAGATTATATCAATAACATTACAGGGCCACATCGGGGAATAGAAATGTGTGGCGGGCCATGAATGCTCACAAAATTGAGGTTGGTGTGCAGGAGGGGGTGAGGGCTCCGATTGGGGGTGCGGGCTCTGGGGTGGAGCTCGGGATGAAGAGTTTGGGGTGTAGGAGGGTGCTCTGGGCTGGGACCGAGGGGTTCGGAGGGGGATCAGGGCTGGGGTAGGGGTGCAGGTTCCGGCTGGGGGTGCGGGCTCTGCGGTGGGGCTGGGGATGAGAGGTTTGGGGTGCAGGAGGGTGCTCCGTGCTAGGATCAAAGGCTTTGGAGAGCAGGAGGGGGATCAGGGCTGGGGTGGGGGGTTGGGGCATGGGGAGAGGCTCAGAGGTGCAGGCTCCGAGTGGCACTTACCTCAAACGGCTCCTGGAAGTAGTAGCATGTCCCTTCTCCGGCTCCTATGTGTGGAGTGGCCTCCGACCCTCAGAGCGGGGCCATGCCACAGCTTCCGGGAGACACGTAGGGCGGCTCGCAGCCCCGGCTGGAGCGCCGGAGAGGAGCCGAGCCGCGTGGTGCGGCCCCTGACCCAACGCCCCTGCTGGAGTGCTGGGGGGGGGGCGAAAGCCCCAGACCTCGCTCCCCAGCAGGAGCTCGTGGGCCAGCTTAAAATGGCTCACGGGCCGGATCTGGCCCACAGGCTGTAGTTTGCCCACCCCTGACCTAGCACAATGAATTCCTGATCTCTGATTGAGGCCCCTAAGTGCTACTGCAATACAAATAAATAGTAATATATTTCTGTCTATAGAACCACACAGTATGGGTTCTTCATTGTATCGTAAAATATATGTTCAATACAAATTGAGTCTGCATTGCTGCTGGCAGCCTCTTGGAGAAGGAAGAAGGCTGATTTTGCCTGTGGATTCTAAAGTGTCAAATAAATAAATGGAGATATACCTATCTCATAGAGCTGGAAGGGACCCTGAAAGGTCATTGAGTCCAGCCCCCTGCCTTCACTAGCAGGACCAACTACTGATTTTTGCCCCAGATCCCTAAGTAGCCCCCTTAAGGATTGAACTCACAACCCTGAGATTAGGAGGCCAATGCTCAAAGCACTGAGTTATCCCTCCCCAATATTATCTCTAGTTTGTAAACATTATTATAAGAACGGCCATACTGGGTTATACCAAAGGTCCGTCTAGCCCAGTATCCTGTCTTCCAACAGTGGCAAATACCAGGTGCCCCAGAGGGAATGAACAGAACAGCTAATCATCAAGTGATCCATCCCCTGTCACCTATTCCCAACTTCTGGCAATGCTATCTGTGCAGTTTGTACTATTTTAAAATATGTAAGAGGCCTGTGTACCTTATTAACAGATTTTACAGATCTGAAATACCCTTCTCTCTCCGTTTTAGAAGATCATTGTTTTAAAAATTCAATTAATGGCAAAAAGTGTCCCAAACCAACTTTTTAACTCTTAGAGCATAAAAGTAGCCTATTTTAAAAAATTGCAAAAATATTCTTACTTGAAACCTTTGGCTATGTCTACACTAGATGCTTTTCCCTAAAATTTCCCATCATGCAGCTCTAGTGCTAGCAACAGGGGAGTGGGAGGCTAGACAAGGTGCTGGTATTTGAACCACAATGTTTTCTAACCCTCCTCAGAACAGATCTAGGTGACACTGTAGTACAAATGCTGGCAGCTGCTAGGGCACCTTGTCTGCACTACAGCTTCCATCACTGATAGCGCTGCAATGATGGGAAGCTTTAAGGAAAAAAAACCCAGCATAGACAAGACCTTTGATTGTCATGGTTCAAGCCCATAAGTATATTTTTACAGTGGTGTTACACATTCATGTAAAATTCATTTATCATCAATGTATGAATTAACCCTGCCCAGATGCACAAGATATTTTGCAGACCTTTGTGCTATAAAAGGGAACTTTTCCCCTGCTGCTGAATAGAGCCCATAGATGGAGGTGTATATGGCCGCTTAAGAATGTCAGAAAATTCAAACTATCAAAAGCCTAAACTCTTCAGCATGTGCGTGTGCACACACACAAATCAATAACCGTAAACATTGTTTGGTTATTTTTACAATTTAAAAGGTCATTAATATTGTAAATTAAATAATGTCAGCAAATCTCTGTCATTCCTGTTGCTTTCAGTCATTCAATGAAATCACGATGAGCAGCTGTTGCAGCAACAATAGGCATCTGGCTTTTTCTCAGCTGTGTCCTTGTACTAGTAGCTCCTACACTGTAGGTATATTACTTTCAGCTAGCACGGTGGGAAGCTCCTGGAGCACAAGGCTTTGCAATCCTCACTAGCAGGACACTAGCTGTTGGATTTGTAAAATTAGCATGCATTGGCCAACTTTTTTCCTGTAATTCCACTCTCACCTATAAAATCATCATTCTTTTACTGTTTATCATTTGAGTTTTCCCATGAAAATGCTCTGCCAGAGTTATTTTTGCAACTATACAAACACGTATATTCAAGGGAGAATCACACACACACACACACACACACACACACACACACACACACCCCTCTCTCTCTCTCTCTCAAGGGAGAATCGTTCATACAAATGCATAGCAAAACAGTTTACTGAAGTATTCACTTGGCAGTAGAATCAATGAAGAAAAGTCTCTTTTCCAGAGCCGGACACAGCTGCTCACCAGCAGGCAGGAAGAGGGAAACCAGTTATGAAAATGGTAACAAAAGAAAAAAGATAAAATCTGTGAAGATGAGAATAAGCACCCTTATTTGGGGAGATTAGGCTGGGTCTACACTCTGATATTTTCTTCAGAATTCTCAGCAATGTACTACTTCCTATTGGTGCAGCTCAACTGGCAGTAGCAATGGTGGGATTATGCATATAGTTGGGGCTCTGATGTTTATTCCCTGTCCCATCTATCTCTGCTCAGAAGTTGGGTCCTGTCCACGTTAAAGCTCCCATTGCTACCACTGGAAGAGCTGCACCTGCAGCGGTGCAAATTTTGCAGAAAATAAAGTGTGCCTGAAATTCAGCTGCAATGAGAACCGAAGGATGCAGTGTTGATTCGGGGAAAGGGGAGGGTAAACTGAGAGGTGTTGAGTGTCCGGACAGTCTGAAAGCAGGTAAGAGGAAATGACTCAGGCCTGGTCTACATTACGACTTTAATTCGGATTTAGCAGCGTTAATCCGAATTAACCCTTCACCCGTCCACACTACAGAGCCAGTTAATTCGAATTAAAGGGCACTTAAAATCGATTTCTGTACTCCACCTCGACGAGCGGAGTAGCGCCAAAATCGATTTTGTTAATTCGAATTAGGGTTAGTGTGGCCGCACACCACCGAATTAATGTGGTTAAATTAATGGGGTAGTGTGGCCGCACACCACCGAATTAATGTGGTTAAAAACCGAATTAATGTGCTTAGTGTGGCCGCGCACAATCGAATTTATACAACCTGTTTCCCAAATTCGAATTATCTAAATTCGGATTAATCCCGTAGTGTAGACATACCCTCAGAGAGCAAATCAACATTTACTGGTGTTTATAAAGGAGGTGCAGGAAAAAGAGTAACGTCACTAGGTCAGTGTGAAATATTTTCAGTGCAAAGAATTCCTGTTTGGCAGGAGGTAGCATGACATGTCTGGGACATGCTGAAGACCAGTAATGGACCCAAACTGGACCCTGGTAGCTACCTTGCCTGGGTAGCCTGTGAGGATAGGCAGATTATTACACCCATGCACTAACCTCTCACAGCACACGCTGGGCTGGGACATTGGGCACCATGGCAGTGTTTGCTTAGGCGTGGTGCTGTGGGTGGCTTGGGGAGGAGGGTGCAATGCCTTGGCATTATGGCAGTGGTTCCCCAACTTTAACAACCTGTGAACCCCTTTCACCAAAATGTCCAGTCTCGCGAACCCCCTCCTAAAAATGAATATTTCCAGGGATTTTCTCCTTTACCTGAGTATAAATTATAAAAGCAGTGATCTTGGAAATATAAAATTTGTTTTTATGACATGCTTATTACACACTATTTATTAATTATTATTTATCATTACAGTATTTTTATTACATTATGAAAACGGCAACACTGTTCCAAGATCTCACTTTCGTAGCTTGTATCACTTTGAATAAGCCTGTTATAAGACAAGGCTCCTATGTTTCATCAGGAAGTATCAGATGTGAAACAGCATGAAGGTATGTGAGAAGCCAATACAAAGAGTTCCTCTTATACAAGCATTCAGGTCTTGAGCAGTTCAAGCAAACAACACACCTTACAACAAAGCTTCAACTTGTTCTTCATAATACTTTTAAAAACAACAGTAGCTGCCTATTTAATTTTAAAAACAGCAAAAAATATCCACCTCCCTTTCCGTTTCTTATAAGGAGTCTTGAAGTTTAAATCTCCTCAGTGTGATAGATGTCCTTACTCTGATCTGCTTAGCTCTTGGAAGTCCTGGGGCTCTGAGCTGCTGGTCCCCTGCTCCCTAAGGACAGCTCTGTCCCCCATTAGGGAATTTCCCCCCCAGAACCTCCTGTAACATTTCGCGAACCCCAGTTTGGGAACCACTGCATTATGGGGATGCTGCTTCTTTGGGAAGGGAGATCTGGCTGCAGCAAGACCTGAGTGATGTCCCCCTAGCGACGACCAGGGGAAAGTGGCGTTGCCGCGCGCTGATGCAATCAGAACTCCCAAGCAGCAGCAGCACCAGGGACAATATCAGTTCCTTCTCACAGCTGCAACGTGTCCCAGCAGGGAGGCGTTGCATAGGGAGAGACAGATAGTCCGTAGGCGCTTCATTCTGCTCGCTGGCCGAAGGGAGCGGGGCCGCGGAGAAAGCTCTTCCTGCCTCATCTGGCAATTACTGCTCTTGTACTAGCATGATGAAGGTAATTGGAGTCAATTGTGCTGCAGCATGGGTGCCCGTCCATTGTGGGATGCACAGTGGCAATAAAACAGCATTTCATTGATTGTTGCTCTGATTTGGCTTTGGTGCCTTGCAAGGGAGGCTCTGTCCTCGCTAGTTGATTGTTTCTGATTCAGAGGCAGGATGTGCGTGACTCTCTCGTCTCCTTTTTGAATGGTTGAATTGCAGGCGGCATTTGAGAAAAATAATACGGGGAGGAGGAGGAAAAACCTTTCAATCTAATTTTGCATGGGAGAATTATTTGTTACCGGCGCGGGTTTATTTCCAACATGGGTCTCTTAAGGGGTTAAAAAAACAGAAGGGAAAAAAAATCTGCGAAGGGTATAGTCTGCTGACAGGCTACAGGGATTTAAAGTGCCCGGGAGTTTATTATAGCTCTTAGCTGTGCAGTCATGCTAGACCTGACTCTGGGTAACAGGCAGCAGAATGTAGCGTGGTTTAGTGTAAATGGAAAATGTAACGTTTTCACGGGTTAAAATTAATGTGCGATGTTGCATTTTTTTGAAACCAGTCTTGTATAGTGGCAGTTTGGTCTCTACTTCCTTTAAGTTAGTGTGTGTGTGTGTGTGTGTGTGTGTGTGCGTGCGCGCTGTCCCCTGGGATGTGGGGAGAGACGCCTTGTTCTTCCACAAGGACTTGCTGTTGCTGCTTTTTTAACTTCTCCGCTGGTAACTTTACACTGCCCGGAACAGCTGCACCATGTGAAGGTCTGGGGTCTTGAAGAAGGTTCTGTACAAAGCTGGCTTTGAACTGACCACTGTTTGTCCTGAATGTGCACTTCGGCTTGTACATAGTTGCTCCACTTAAATGATTCTGCTAGATGAGATGAGAGCTTATTCCACCCAGGGGAGGAAGGGGAAACCTCAGTAGACTTCACTCATGCTGCTCTCCCCTGCCGATTGTCGTGTTGCCCTTTTCTCATCCTTGGATCTTGTCTACGTTGAACATTTTCTGAAATTTCCTTGCTGTTGCCTTAGCAATGGTGCAGCTGCACAGATGCTGTCAGTAATGGGAACACTAGTAGATAAGTGTTTTTATCACCACCCCACCTCATCTGTGCTCCATGTACATGAGGATTCCCACAACTGCTAGCATCAGTGCAGCTGAGACAGGATTAGACCAGTGATGGGAGAAGTTCTGCAAATGCTCCTAGTAGCCCACTTAGTGGCTTCTCCGGTTCAGCATGCTGTGAGCTAGGGGCGTAGGCCCTGGGGAGCGGGTTACAATCTTGCATTGCCGCTGTTCATAGAATAGAATATCAGGGTTGGAAGGGACCTCAGGAGGTCATCTAGTCCAACCCCCTGCTCAAAGCAGGACCAATCCCCAACTAAATCATCCTAGCCAGGCCTTTGTCAAGCTGGGCCTTAAAAACCTCTAAGGAAGGAGGTTCCACCACCTCCCTAGGTAACCCATTCCAGTGCTTCATCACCCTCCTAGTGAAAAAGTTTTTCCTAATATCCAACCTGGACCTCCCCCACTGCAACTTGAGACCATTACTCCTTGTTCTGTCATCTGCCACCACTGAGAACAGTCTAGATCCATCCTCTTTGGAACCCCCTTTCAGGTAGTTGAAAGCAGCTATCAAATCCCCCCTCATTCTAATCTTCTGCAGACTAAACAATCCCAGTTCTTTGAGCCTCTCCTCATAAGTCATGTGCTCCAGGCCCCTAATCATATTTGTTGCCCTCCGCTGGACTCTTTCCAATTTTTCCACATCCTTCTTCTAGTGTGGGGCCCAAAACTGGACACAGTACTCCAGATGAGGCCTCACCAATGTCGAATAGAGGGGAATGATCACGTCCCTCGATCTGCTGGCAATGCCCCTACTTATACAGCCCAAAATGCCGGTAGCCTTCTTGGCAACAAGGGCACACTGTTGACTCATATCCAGCATCTCGTCCACTGTAACCCCTAGGTCGCTTTCTGCAGAACTGCTGCCTAGCCATTCAGTCCCTAGTCTGTAGCTGTGCATGGGATTCTTCTGTCCTAAGTGCAGGACTCTGCACTTGTCCTTGTTGAACCTCATCAGATTTCTTTTGGCCCAATCCTCTAATTTGTCTAGGTCCCTCTGTATCCTATCCCTACCCTCCAGCGTATCTACCACTCCTCCCAGTTTAGTGTCATCTGCAAACTTGCTGAGGGTGCAGTCCACGCCATCCTCCAGATCATTAATGATGATATTGAACAAAACCGGCCCCAGGACCGACCTTGGGGCACTCTGCTTGATACCGGCTGCCAACTAGACGTGGAGCCATTGATCACTACCCGTTGAGCCCGACGATCTAGCCAGCTTTCTATCCACCTTAGTGTTTTTGCTGTACCGGTTGCATGACTGACCAGAGCAGTGGACTTCAATCTCCAGGACTGTTATCCAGCACCTTACAGCAGTACTAACCATGCACGTACAAAAAAGAAGGAAGTAAAATATGATCCATAGCACTGTGACTGATCACGACAACAATGAGCTTGACAATGAAATTACACTATTTCTAAGCAAAAGGATCACTCTGCTGGACTGAAGAAACATAGGGGAGTGATATATTGGGAATGATATAATGGTACTCTGATCTAGGAGACAGGAGATCTGGGTTGTACACTCTGCCACTGGCCTGCTGTGTAACTTTGGGCAAGTCACTTCACTTCTCTGTGCCTTTGTTTTCCCTTTTGTCCTTCATTTGTTTTATCTATTTAGACTGTAAACGCTTGAGGACAGGGACTGTCACTGTGTGTTTGTACAGTCGTAGCACTCATCACAATGGGATCCCAATCACAGTTTGGGCCTCTAGGCAGAACTGTAGTACAAATAAAACTATGAAGGTATCATTACACTTCCCTGTCCCTTGAGGTTTCCCCTCTTCACTATTTCCTGCTTTAAATCCCTGCTACTTCAATAAAGACACATTCTCCCTCAACCCTTTTCCAGTTCCCTTCCTGTCTCTGAGCCCTCTTTACAGAAATATTATGTGTAAGAACTGAATTTACCTCTGGTTTCTCTAGTTCTCCCTTGTCCCTCTGTGGCAACTGATTTCAGCTGACAGGCCTAGCACTCCCATCATCTTGTGAGGATGTGGGCTGTCTGATTTCCTTGGCACTGGGGCTGACTGCCCAAATCAGTGTTATAGAGTCACAGGAGAAACAGAAGGAACCAAAAAAGAGGTTAGCTTGCACACAGCTTATATTTTTCAATGGGCCATATTCATCCCTGGTATAACTCCATGGAATTATTCCCCAGGAGTTACACCAGGAATGAATTTCTCCTTAGGAGTACAGTGATCAGTAAATACTCGGGTCAGGATTGTCAGGAGAAGAGACACATCACATTTTATTAATGGCATGAGCACTCAGCCTTGACAGTCTATTCAGGCCTTTTGAAACAATGTATCCACACTAGGCAGGCTAAAGATTCAGCATATGTATTAGCATAGTTGCTCCCATACTAACATTATGTCATTTTATTTGTATCTGTAAATAACTGCGGCTACATAAATAAAAACACTGTGGTCATTAGTAGGCATCGAAACCAGGACTTTTAGCAAAAAAAATTGTGAGGTCTGTTTGCTGTGAGAAAATAGTGGACTTTATTCTTGCTAGCCCCAACCAGCAGGGATGACATGATCGTAGTCACTATACCAAATGAGTTATATCTTCCACCTTGTTGGACAAGCTAGTCAAAGGCTTTGAGAGTCCTGTCCAGAGTACTAGTCTGTAACAAAGTGTAGCTACTGACTGAGAGCCCTGGTGTCTGTAATGTGGAGATTGACCTCCTGGCCTCAGCACTGAAAGCATAAACTCCCATGAAAGCTTGAGCACATGTTGAGGGAGTATATGGCCATAACTTATCATACAGTCACCCATTCTGGTAACTTGATAACCTTACCTTACAACTACAGGAATGCCTGGCCCCACTTTCCTTAGAAATGGTTCCGTTGGCTCATAGCTTATACTTTAAGGAACCAGATTATTACCTCGTAAAACAGAGCACCTGTCATCATAAACCTTTATTATACTAGAGGTGAGATTAACTCTGGTCCATTAGGAGTCTAGCAAATATTACCATATGTTACTGACCATGAAAATCCAGTTGTTTGCTTGTCTAAAGGTCCAGCGATTCCTTCTCTTGTGCAAACCATAAGAGCCAAATAAAATAACATGAAGTTCCAATTAAAACTGTTGTTAAAAGTAATCAAAAGCTTTAACCCATCTGTCTTCCATGATACACCCATTTTGGCACATGGGTTATTATTGTTTTATGGACCAGAGTTATTTATTTACTTACCTTCCCTTTTGAAGTTCACCGTTCATGCCCAAGTTACATTTTTAGGAGATATATATATAAAATAGATGAAAAGAACTATATAGTATGAATACTTAACTATGTGCATAGCTAATACTAGTACAACTTACCTACCTGAGTGTTTCATGAATTTAACAACAATGCTCATGCTGATTGTAAGACTAGAATATTGATTTTTGTTGGTGCTTCTTGGTGCCAGAAGTGGTCAGGATGGGAGGAGGAGGAGGAGACAACCAGCCGGGACAGACATAGAATCTTGCAGGATCAGCAGCAGACTCTACTATGCCTCCTCAAGGTCACTAAGTCCATGAGAGTTTAGCAGAGCAGGACCAGTCCCTTGGTTTTCTCTTGTTCAGACCCAGCAGACCCAGTCCTCAGGGTCTCCCTTACCTCCCCAAACAGTGCTAGCACTTGCATTTACCCTTTCTGTGAGCCAGAATCTGAACGCTTTCACATTATCTAATTTTGGGGAATTGCTCTTAATACTATTTCACTTCAGTTCCTTGTAGCAGCTGTGATTACTACACTCATTCTGCAGCTGGGAAGGTGGGCAGCCTTCCAGAGTGCAGCCCTGCTCCACAATCAGCTAGCAGAGTGCAGTAGTACACGGTATGCTATTCATCCTGGAGCCTGAAAACAAGACTCTCAGATGAGGAGCTAGAGGTCCA